ATGTTGATCACTGGATAGGGACGGTCGAGTTATCAATGATGTAAGTTTTGGTATTTAACTATTAAGTATTTGTGCTTTATCGACATATATAATTGGATTTTATAATTAGCACTTGAAGCCGTCTCTTATCGCTTTATTTTTAGATACCAATGTAAATACATGAAGATTCATATCTTTCTTAATTTGATGATGTAATTACGGATAAAACGATCGTGTAAAAGGATAAACGACCTTTATCTTCAAACTTCTTATTTGAATAATATCCACATTACATCGAGGTTTTAGTCCTATCTACTTTTGATAGAGACTAGGATCAATCGATTCTCATTTAATTCTCTTTATTTATTACCACGATGGCATTTTACATTTATATATTTGGTAGATACATGTGTTTGTAATGGATGGTCGCACATGCATGACTCAATAAAGGATTGACAATCTTAACACATATCGTGTCTTAAGATTTAATAATGATCTTATATCTATGTAATAATCGATTGTTTTACTCTACTAGTTTAGCAATTTTATTGAGATTAGTATACAATTCGTCCAAGAGACAAGGCCACCTAACAATCAATAAAATGGATCGCACATGAGTCTATAAGGGTTTGGCCAATCCTAGGTAGCCCCAATTTACACAAAAACTATATATTAAGATGTCGATCGTATAAAATATGTGTACTACACCGTAATGCGGAGATCTTTATCATAATTTTATTCTATTCAAAGCACCATTTGCATTTTGCAACTCGCAAGAGTCACTTGCTAAGCTGGTAGAGCTGGTATCAGATTTAAATATGTTTATTATACAAGTTTTTATTTGGTAATGAAGTAAAATGAATGCAACGAGAATACCCGTCGTCGGTGACAACTCACGCTTGCACTTGCCATAAGCACTACTAAAGCCCTAAGGCTAGCTAAACCTGTTATCTCCACTAGTAGAAACCCTTCAAATAAAACTCTATAAATAGAAACCCTCCTAAGATCCCTTCTTTCCTCATATAACTCATACACACCACGTGAACTACTTCTCAAATACAATCCATCTCTCACTTTCTCTATTGTCTTTCTAATTACAATACATAATTGTAATGGCTAAGTTAAGCTTCACTTTATGCTTTTTGTTGTTTCTTCTGTTAGCCTCAGTGGCCGCCGGAAGCCGTCCTCTTAAGGGGACTCCGGTCAGTGTGAAAGTGAGAGAGCTAAGCCCTTCGATGGCGGCTACGAGCCCGACTGTAGCGGATGATCAAGATGCAGGTAGCAGCAATAGCCATGGCAAATCTCCAGAACGATTAAGCCCTGGAGGACCCGACCCGCAACATCATTAGTTATTTAGGGTTTCCTTATAATTAAGAGTTGTTTTCAATCTTCGAGATGTGTTTTTTCTCTTATCAATAATTTGGTTGCAATGAATCTTTTTTTTCTTTTTGTAATAAGATTGTGAATTTGCGTTTGCATGTGAGATTATTACAAAAGTTATAACGATGTTATTTATGATAAGACTGTGAATTTGCGTTTGAGATATTATTACAAAGGTATAACTTATAACGGTGTTATATATACATTATTTTAAACTTATCGTGCTAGATATTCACATTTCGTTATCGTATTAGTTATGTTCTGACTAAAAGGAGTACCGTATCTTTATTATTCACCTTTTAGAAAACGTTTTTTTGTTACTATTTTGTGCTTTTACAATATACTTATATAGCAACACAAGGTATGAGGCTGATTTAGATGGTCCTGCATATATATATATATATGATTCTGTCTTATCATTGTATCGGGAATCATCATGCTTATTGTGACTATTATGATTCCAACACTACAAGAAAATATTCTAATTTTGAAAATAAATTTAGTCTAAAATTGGTCAAAAACAGTTATTTCTGACTACTACTACTTGACCAAAATCGATTCGTCAAAAATTGATGGTTGCAAATGAATTTTGTTAAGAAAATAGTCAAAACGTTTTGACCAATAAAAATGGTCAAAAATTTAGTTCTGACCAACAAAGTGGTGAAAACATTTTGACCAATCAAAATGGTCAAAAAATTGGTTATGACCAATGAAGTGGTCGGAAGTTTTTGACCAATCAAAATGGTCAAAAATTTGATTATGACCAATAAAATCGTCGAAATTTTTTAATCAATCAAATTAGTCGGAACTATATATTTTGACCCATTTTAGACCATATATTCCAACCAATTTTTGACCAACTTAGATATTTTTTTTTTAAATATTGTATTCGAAAATATTAAAATTCAAATTTTAAATATTTGATTCATAATAATAAAAATAAAATTAAATATTTTAAAACAATGAAAATATAAAATATTTCAAAAAAATGTATTCGAAAATATTTAAATTCAAATTTAAAATATCTGATTCATAATATTTCAATCAACGATTAAAATATTTCAAAATTCAACTATTTGGGTCATAGTAAGCCCATTTACGTTTTTTACAATGGAGTGAGTGTTATTTTATAGAGAAAATCAAAGTTTCATCCCTCCCATATTGGCGATGTGGGACAAATACAATACAGATGTTGTCCTCAATATTTGGTCGATAATGTTGTGACCAATTTTTGTCAAGTATTTATTAGTCAAAAATTACTCACGAAATTTCGACCAAATTTTGTTTTAGTCGATAAATGGTAAGATTATTTTGACTATTGTCTGACCACTTGTATTAGTCAAAAAAGTTTTGATCATATTTTAATGAGTTTAAATTTTCATAATTTTTTGGTCAAAAATTTGTCAACAAACATTTTGACCATTTTATTGGTAAAAAATTTGGTCAAAAATTAATGTGTTTTCTTGACCAATTTTCAACCAATCTTCTTTGTCGCAAGTTTTCGACCATTTTTTGAAAAATTTACGAATCCGTTAAAAATTGGTCGAAAGATTTCGACCAGTTTTTGACTCTTATATTTCATCATTTTCTTGACCAATTTATAACGAAAATAAACATTCGTCTAAAATTGGTCGAAAATGGTCTGACCACAAAATGTTGGTAAAACAAAATTATTCGAACGAATAGGGATCCGAGTAATTGAAGTTTAAATACTACCAAAAACAAAAGTTTAAACACACTACAAAGTTGATATTATATAGTGTTTACCTATACAAATGAACAATATAGGAAAACTTTAATTATATATTAGTAGTGTTTAAATTGTTGAAAAAGCAATTGAATCCGCAGCAGGTAATTGAAATTTCTATTGAATTAGTAATTAAAAAGAAATAAACTACGTATTAAACAGTACAGCTACAACTAATTAATGATCACTCAAAATAATAATACAAAAGCATATCATATGAACACTCACATAATGCTTTTTTTGCTAAACATAAATTCTATTATTAAAGATGGGATATATAACATACATATCTCGTTACATGATGTTTATATATAAATGATCTCGTTTCAGAATGTTTTAAGTTATGTGCATGTAAGCATGTTGTGTAACTAATCACAGTTAAAATAAAAAAAATATGAAATCACAAAGCATGCAATAAAGATCCACGTTAACTTTTTGTTGCAGTGAGATTTTCTTTCCAAAATTTTTAAACACAATATAAATAGACTTGGCGTAGTTAATTAACAATTATTTTTAAGCCAAATATAAACTCCCGAATCCAACTTGTATGCTATTTATTTATAATATACATTTGGCTGATAAACTGTAAGCTTTCGTCCATCAATTTTTCCAATGAAAGATTTACAAAATAATCTTTCTGGAAAATACTTTTTTTTTTAATGGAAAGACTGTTTTATTTATCTTTGATTAATCATGCTTTACAGTAAAACAAACACCTAATACTATGATCGCCCCATGGATTATAGGTCATGAGTGAAAAATTATATGCGTATCAAAAGAATATTAACTATAATTAACCTACCATTTCACACGTATAAAAAGATAATAATCTGTCACTACTATTTTATAAAACATTTTTAAAACAATAATATGAAAAAGAAAAAAAGTAGTCGACCTAAAAAAGTGAACAAACGTGAAGACCAAAATGAGGAGGATAATCGGCTGAAAATGGCATATCATATAGTAATAAAGATTTTAAACAATATTTTAACCCCAAAAAAGTTTCTTATCAACGAACAAAAGACGGCGAACGTGCAGCACTCTTGTTTTGTTAAAAGCAAATCGTATTTTTACTAATGACGCCAAAACTTAATGACTTATCACACGACCGAAATGGACCCCATTTTGATATTGTAGTAACATTTAATATTAGATTAATATCACCTAAAATTATAAAAGCATCGTGATCTTCTTAACATATTATAAGCATATGCACGATTTGGATGTTATATAAACCTTTTAAGATTTTTTATTGCTTATCATGTATATAAAGTAGAAAATATGACAGTGTTGACATTAATTTGTATAGTTTAAAAAAAAACATATATATATGTATAAC